TGGTGTTTCATCAGGAATGCTAAGGCAAGATATTGCTGCTTAGATCCATGACGGTCAGTTACCTGTGAATGAGGGCGTCAAAGTAATAATTGCCAGGCTATACAACGCACCATGGCTTCACGAACATCGTTGAAGTTACATTTCGCAGACTGCTGAGGCAATTTAATTCCAGTTTCTGCCATGAAGTTTAAACGGGGCACATGGCATGAAGCTCATTATACTCACTTCTGGTTAAATGTAAGTGGGGATTCCCCATTCCTTCATCTGAGTTTCAGCATAAGGTACTGCCCTTAGAAGCAAGTCTACCTTAAAGAAAAGAAGAAATCATTTATTGCACGAATCCAAATATCTGAAGCCTGTAACTAACTGTAGTGACTTAGTATAAGGTACTATGGCTGCGTTTGCCGACGTAAAACGTTGTTCACTCTCTATGGCACGGAAGCGAGGTTAGCTTTCTTAAAATCCGTTTGCACCAATGTGCTTTACTGCTGCTGTATTTGTGCTGTCTGCCGTTTTCGATAAGAATCTCAAGTCGTTATTCTCCAACATGAAATGACACAGCAGCCCTCGAATAAACACTACTCAAAATGTTTAACGAAACGCTGGCATGAATGTAAAACATGGTATAATCTAAATAGCTGAAGGTACTCCATTTACCTGTATGAGCACTCAGACGACTAACGAATTCGCAGTTCATGTCCCGAAATCGAAACACAGACACGTTTCCGGCCGAATCACCGAGGAACACATACTTCGACTCGGAGTCAAACCTAAAAGATAGCCCTGAAAGCGCCACTATGCTACGTAAAGCGACACCTGTCATTGTAAGTTTTGACGCATTTACATGGCCTTTTACTTAAGTAACGATATTATGGATATCAGTTCTAACTCTGGAAATTCTGCAAATACTATGAAACTATTAGAACTAGTTTCACTGTAGTAAAATTGCCTGGCATGCTATGAACTGGTCATATATCAGAGAACTTAAGCAAAGTTTACATACACTGAAACAATTAAAATTTAATTTTCTACCTTTAAGTTATTCATTCAGTTACTGTCATTGGTAGACTCTGGCATCCAGCCTAATGATGCTGCGGTTTATGCAGTGAAACGCGTTGGCAGTAAACTACTTACCGTCTTTATTTGGTGACCCGAACCATAAATCAATCAACAACCATGTATATGACTATGGGACCAGAAGTATTTACAAAATTCATCTGGAGTCATTTGATTTGAACTTTCCCAACGTTGACAAATAAGTGTCATTGTATGAGAAGAAAGTAAGGAACAATATTCAGCAGTGGCTATTTAGTGCATTCATTAACAAATATTACACTGTTGGATGATAGCAACGTAACGGAAATCAGTGTCGTACATGCTCTATGAAAATGAAGCACTACAAATACAGCACAGTCAAACTAACTTCCCGATGGCTACAAATTACCCTACCCTCTCCTTTACACGGCCACGTGCGATGAGTCACGGATGAAGATCCGCCTCAATAAGTTAATCAGGTTCATTAGCATGGTAAGAGTGCCCATTAAATTATTACGGCAAAATTGACTCAGATCAAAAAAAACAACGTACATTATGTAATACCGATAGGTATTTTTTGCGGCAAAATATAGCTGCGACAGCGAATATCAATTATACCAAGTGAAATTCGAACTGTACTATTAAACAGACGTATAAACTCAAATCATAATTTAAAACAATGTTTTAAAAATCTTAGTTCGACTTTTCCATTCCTTTGTCGAATTTGCACAACCTCGTCGCACCGTTCTCTTACTTCTTGATGCCTATGTGACTTTACAGCTTACCTAGTGTGAGATGCGGTGCGTGTGGCCATGCCGCTTGTCGGTGCTGAGTCGAACACCAGCTGAGCTGGCCCGAGCAATGTCCGTTCGAGAAAAACTGAAAAGCGCCATAATCTGCTGGCGTGTATATGCACCACTAATAATCGATTTTCTAAGGCAACTTTCAAAAGTAGCGGCTTCCGATGCCATCGGTGAGAAATCTATTCCGTTCTTTTGTTTGATTTCAG